ATTGACAAGCGTATTTCCTACATCACAACAGTGACTTCACTTCAAATGTACTTCTGGACTCCTGAGGATGCTAAAGGTGCTATACAAATGCAAGTATTTCCAACAGTTTGTGTTTTCAAAGCAGCGTCTAAAAAAAACTCAACAGCTCCGCAGGTAGAAATGATAACTTCCTTTTACTGATGATTACTGTACGTGGACTGACAGAAACTCACTGGCTCACGAGTCCTCACTAGTTACCTGTAGAATGCAGCTGACTCAGCATTAATACGGATCTGCATGTGCTTGAACCTGCTCGAGAAAGAACGCACGGGGTTAAATTCTCCATTAGTTCCAGAGCAACATCCCCCTCTACCTCAAACAGAGACATTAAACAGCTGAAGAAAAAAAACACATTCTGTTTTTGCCATGCCCCTCACAACCAGAATGATCGGTGGGTTAGCACCTCAGTTCCTACCAGCCTCGGTGAGGTATTAAAAGGCATGAACATTCTGTCAACTACCCCGATCAAGTCAGACAACATTCTGTGATAGTAACGTTATGTTACGTTACATTATGATACATCTGCAGGGGACTCTGGTCAAGTTGCATTTTAAAAGTACATAGTTGCACATAGGATCTACATTAGAGTAGTCAAAAAAGTACAATTTTGTTTTGAAAACAAAGATGATATGAAAGATTAGAACTAGAGGATTTACTGTATGATGGGGTTGGCCAGGAGGAGTTCTGGAAAGAATCCAAAATTAGGAACCCTAACTATAAGCTAGTTATTAATAAATCCAATTGGAAAATAAGGACAACTGTCTTTACTTAATAAAGGTGGTGAATTTATTGCCACTGCACACAGCTGAGGCAAAACGATCAGATGCTTTGAGAAATAAACTAGATGAGGAACTGAGGGAAAAGTGAATAAAAAACTACACTGAACGGGTGAGATGAAGTAGATCAATTAAGAGGAAGCTTGGATAGTTTGTAATGACCAACAACTGAGTAGTTGGGCGAAATGGTCTTCGATTTGGGAGATGGGAGTTGGGGGCGTGTTGGTGGTGGTGGTGGGATTCCAGAATGAGAGAGTCAGGGCTATGGGAGTCAAGGGGTTTGGAACTGGGGAGGAGCCGGATGGGGTGCAAATACCCAAACGAGGGACTAAAGAATAATAAGACCATAAGACCATGAGACATAGGAGCAGAAGTTAGGCCATTCGGCCCGTCGAGTCTGCTCCACCATTCAATCATGGCTGATAAGTTCCTCAACCCCATTCTCCCGCCTTCTCCCCGTAACCCTTGATCCCCCTGATAATCAAGAGCTTATCTATCTAAGTCTTAAATGTACTCAATGACCTGGCCTCCACAGCCTTCTGTGGCAGTGAATTCCATAGAATCACCACTCTCTGGCTGAAGAAGTTTATCCTTATCTCCGTTCTAATAGGTCTTCCCTTTACTCTAAGGCTGTGCCCTCAGGTCCTCGTCTCTCCTACGAATGAAAACATCTTCCCAACATCCGCTCTGTCCAGGCCATTCAGTATTCTGTAAGTTTCAATTAGATCCCCCCTCATCCTTCTAAACTCCAATGAGTATAGTCCCAGAGTCCTCAAACGTTCCTCATATGTTAAACTTTCCATTCCTGGGACCATTCTCGTGAACATCATCCATATGTTTATCTAATGACCATTTAAATGCCCTTAAAGTTGGCGAGTTTACTACTGTTGCAGGCAGGGCATTCCACGCCCTTACTACTCTGAGTAAAGAACCTACATCTGACATCTGTCCTATATCTATCACCCCTCAATTTAAAGCTATGTCCCCTCATGCTAGCCATCACCATCCGAGGAAAAAGGCTCTCGCTGTCCACCCTATCTAATCCTCTGATCATCTTGTATGTCTCTATTAAGTCACCTCTTAACCTTCTCCTCTCTAACAAAAACAGCCTCAAGTCCCTCAGCCTTTCCTCATAAGACCTTCCCTCCATACCAGGCAACATCCTGGTAAATCTCCTCTGCACCCTTTCCAATGCTTCCACATCCTTCCTATAATGCGGTGACCAGAACTGTACGCAATACTCCAAGTGTGGCCGCACCAGAGTTTTGTACAGCTGCAACATGACCTCATGGCTCCGAAACTCAGGTTAGTTGGGCTTCAGATTGGTTTCACAGGTCGGCGCAACATCGAGGGCCGATGAGCCTGTACTGCGCTGTAATGTTCTATGAACCTCCTCTGAACCTGCTCCAGGGCCAGTACATCCTTCCTGAGATATGGGGTCCAAAACTTCACACAATACTCCAAATGTGGCCTGACCAGAGCCTTATAAAGCCTCAGTAGTACATCCCTGCTTTTATATTCAAGTCGTCTCAAAATAAATACCAACATTGCATTTGCCTTCCTGACTACTGACTCAACCTGCAAGTTTACCTTGAGAGAATCCTGGACTGGAACTCCCAAGTCGCTTTGCACTTCAGAACATATCACAAAACGAAACCATTCTCACCTGAAGTCTCCCTCCAGCTTCTCCTGCTGGACAAGGGTTGAGACGATCGGTTCCATTAGAATCTTATTGATTACTGAACCAATGAAGAAATAAATGAAGATGCTGATTGGACCCAGCCAGCCTGTACTGAAAACAAATGAAACTTTGAATCAACTTAAAAACAATGATAATGAAAGTACTTCATCAATAGGATGTGAACCTCCATCTACAAAGAGCCCACACTCGGTTTAAAAAAAACATTTAAGGCTTCTTCCCTTACAGTGAGATTGGTTTGTAAGTTGCATCCTGCAGGAGCCAGTTCTTGACTCCATCATTCTACACCATCACCCTCCCTGTCCCACCCTCCTCTCTCTTTCTCTCTGCATTACCTGTAAAAGCACTGGTAGGTGTAATAAGCCAGGGTGAATGGCGAGATGATGAGGTTGCTGGCCATTTTGCTCATTCCTTTGCAGAACCTCTCCACATCTTGGCTGATACGCTGATCCCTGTAAAACACACAGATAGCTTGATGCAAGGGAGCTCTCAGTCTGCTGGCTCAGCCTATCATCCAGCACTCAATGTGTCTCTATTTAAATAATCGTTGATTGCCTTTTGAATGCCTTGTCTTAACCTGCTTCCACCAACTTTCAGGCATGTCACACCCTAACTACTCATTGTGGAAAAAAGTTAATTCTCACATTATATTTGTTTCTTTTATAAATTAAGTCTTTGCCCTCTGGTTCTCGATCTTCTTTTAAGAAGGAACAGTTTCTCCCTCTCTCTCTATCCAGACCTCTCATAATTTGGAAAACTTCTATCAAATCTCCTCTTAGACTTCTCTTTAAGAAAAGGTCCCAACATTTCCGATCTATCCTCATAATTGAAGCTTCTCATCTCTGGAACCAAGGCTCTCCAATGAGTTCATATCCTTCCTAAAATTTGGCACCAGAACTATACACAACAGTCCAGGCAAGTCCAACCAGTGCCTTATACAATTTCAGCATCATCTCCTTGCTCTTTTACTCCATGCCCTACTAAGGTCTGGAGACCGACTATTTGCTCAGGGGAGGAACCAGAGCCAAACCCAATCCTGTCCTCAGCTTTCCAGCAAGGTTACTCGATAGTGTTCCGACCTTGACTTTCACTGGATTTGCCCTAGCAATAACTCCAGTTCATTGGTGGTTGATTTTGGAACATTCCTGGTTTGCATTGCTCAGTTACTCATTGCTTTATCCAACTGGAGAGCCCCACTTCTCACTCACTGTCCTCCCTCCATTTTATGATAATCTATTTTTAGAATTTGGAAAAACAAGTCCCATTAAGACTCCACCTACGGATTATCCAACTCAGCGTGGAGTACGTTAAGGGTGTAGTAGACTTTCTTCCTGAAGTAGGCCTTGTGGAGGTCCATGGTCAGAATCCGTCTCCAATATACATACATCAAACTCGAGATGAACTGATCAAAACTCTTCAACTGAAAGAAAAAACCCAACACTGGGGGTGAGAAAACAAAACAGACTGATAACATTAACTCTTTGTCACCACATGATGCATAGCCAAGAAACCATTGTCCTTGCAACTTTCTTTTCCTCCCAAGGTTGCTGTCCATTCTTGATTTTCCCCTCATAAAGAAAGGAACCAGAGCAGCGTCCAATTAGCCTAAGCTGCTGTCTGTACTCCGCACAGCCTCCTCCCACCTTTATTCATTTAAATCTAACAAAGTAACCCACTATTCCCTTTTGCCTTATAGGCTATCTAGTTTCCATAAGAGGCCTCTTATGGAATACTAGACACAGTATTTCATAAGAGGCCTCACCAATGTCCTGTACAACCTCAACAGGACTTCCCAACGCCTATACTCAAAGGACTGAGCAATGAAGGCAAGGGTGCCAAACACCTTTTTAACCACTCTGTCTTTACATGATGCAAACATCAAAGAATTATACACCTAAACCCCTAAGTCCCTCTGTTCTACAACACTATCCAAAACTCTACTATTTTGGATCATAGTCCCTTCACTTGTTATTCAGCTGTTGACACTTTACTCACACCATCTGACAGTCTTGATCGCCTTCAGAGACCTATTATTCGGCCTGTCGAGACTCCACTCACAACATCTGTATGATCTTTTGATCTCTCTGATTATAAAGTCTGTGCCTGGGTTCTCTCTTCACTTCACCTGACGAAGGGGCAACACTCCAAAAGGTTAGACTATAACCTGGTGTCGTGTGATTTTTGATCTTGTCCACCCCAGTCCAACACTGGCACCTCCACATCATGGCTACCATTAATTGTAGCCTACCCTTGTTTTTTGTAGCAAAATGCAATACCTCACATTTATTCAGACTGAACTCCGTCTGCCATTTTTCAGCCCATTAATCCATTTGATCAAGATCCCTTTGTAATCTTGGAAAACCTTCTTCACTGTTTACTGTGCCACCAGTTTTGATGTTGTCCACAAACTTACTAACCATGCCTTCTATATTCTCATCCAAATCATTGATATAAATGACAAACAAAAGAGGACCCAGAATTGATCCCTGTGGGACACTGCTGATGACAGGCCTCCAGCCTGAAAAGCAACCCTCCACCACCACTATCTGTCTCCTGCCATTAAGCCAATTATGTATCCAATTGGCAAGTTCACCCTGAATCCCATGTGACCTAACTTTACTAATTAGTCTACCATGCGGAACACTGTCAAAGGCTTTACTAAAGTCCAAGTAAACAACGTCTACTGCTCTGCCCTCAATACTTTTGGCAACTTCTTAAAAAAAAACTCAATCAAGTTTGTGAGACACTGTTTTCCTTGCACAAAACCAGGCTGATTATCCCTAATCAATTTTTGCCTCTCTAAATGTCCGTATATACTATCTCTCATGTTCTTGCACTGTCTCCAGCATCTCTGCATTCACTTGGTAACATAGAGACCAGAACTGTACACAGTACTAATCCAATGAAGGTACTATACGTATTTTAATTCATTCATGGGTTGTGGGCATTGCTGACCAATTTACTGCCCATCCTTAATTGCCCTGGAGAAGGTGGTGGTGAGCAGCTTTCCTGAACTGCTGCCATCCACATCCACTCAATTGCTGCTAGGAAGGGCGTGCCAGGGTTATGGCCCATCAACAGCGAAGGAATAGCAACGTAATTCCAAGTCAGGATGGCTGCTGGGGAACTTTACAAGTCTATCCCTTTTGAAATTAGCTTTGGGGCATTTGCCTTTATCTTTCATGACTTTGTTAACCGGTGTTGTTACTTAGGGTGATCTGTGTAGATGTTCTCCTAGCTCCCTCACTCTTTGGTCTCTTTTAACCCTTGTTTCGGAAGTAAGACAATTGTAATATCATAAAATATGTGAGGTCTTTCTGCACTGCACTGTCCCATCTCATAATGGATGTATATTAGACAGTGAGCCAACAGGAAGACTCTGTAATATCAGTATATTTATTTAGTTTTCTTTCTCTCTTTCATTGAGTAAAGAACTTGATTACTTACCAGAGAGTTGGCCACAATGAGGCAGATGGCCACAATAGTGATTTGTCTGAAGCCAACAACATCTTTCTCACCCAGAACCTTGAAGAAGTGGCTCGGAATAATTCCCACCTGATAGACTACCAGCTGCTCTGTAGAGAAAAAATAACCAAAGCAGTTACACACGGTCATGTTACTTAGGTAGGGATAGGTATTTTTAAAATCAACATCTGGAATGTTATGACACAATTCAGGAGCAGGTGGGACTTGAACACAGGTTTCCTGGCCCAGAGGTAGGGACAATAGCAGAGCAGCACAACAGCCCTCCTTCGGCACCTTGAGCTAATTCAGAGAGGAATCACGAGGCTGAAATTCAAAATGCTCACTCAGCAAGGAATATGGGCTCATGGGTCTCCAATTTGATTACAATCATGCAGTCGAGTAGACCATTCGGCCCATCTTTGATACAGCTATTCAATTAGTTGCTTTGTCATTCTTTTCTCATAATCCTGTGTGGTCCTCTGAGCAAAGTACTAGCTGTGACTCCCATCTGAGCTACCTGGACAGAACTTGGGGGAACCAGAATTTTCTATGGTGTGTTTGGGCTTGTGGAAGGCTTGTGGTGCAGTGGGTAGTGCCTCCACCTCTGAGCTGGAAGGTCTGAATTCAAATCCCATCCCCAGATTTGATAGACAAGGAAGGGGAGGCTATGGCCTAGTGGTGTTATCGCTGAACCGTTAATCCAGAGATCCAGGTGATGTTCTGGGGACCCGGGTTCGAATCCTGCCACGGCAGGTGGGAATTTGAATTCAATAAAAAATATCTGGAATTAAGAAGCTAATGATGACCATGAATCCAATGTCGACTGTCAGAAAAAACCCTAGTCTAGTTCACTAATGTTCTTTAGGGGAGGAAACTACCATCCTTACCTCGTCTGGCCCACATGTGACTTCAGACCAACTGCAATATGGTTGACTCTCAACTGCCCTCTGGGCAATTAGGGATTGGCAATAAATGCTGCCTAGCCAGCGGCTCCCTCGTCCCTTAAATGAATAACAGGGGGAAAAAAGGAAGGTACATCCATGATTATCAATCTGCACATCCTTCCAATACACACCGATGGGAGAGTGGAAGAGATTCTTACTGATGGAAGGAACAATGAGAAGTTCCAATCAGTAGCCATTGCTCCTGACAACAACATGTTTGTAAATATTCCTGCCCCTAATTATTACTCAGGAGAAGTGAGAGAAAAGAAGTGCATCAGGATGTGTACCCTAAATGAGGTCATTGCACATGATCAAATGATAAATATGTGAGCTACTGGAGACTATGACTGTGTGAAGGAGAGAGAACAAAAATTGCAGAATAACAAATTAAATGGGAAGTTTGCAGATCACACATCCTGGACACCAGAACAGCTGTGAACAGGATTACAGAAACAAGGAGGTTTTTCGCAAGTTACACCATCAATCAACCTGATCTGTGGATGTGACTAGAACAAAATGCAGCCCCCGATTAGACTGCTCGCATAGAACTGATATGGTAAACACAAGTCAGTTATTGTGTTCTTTGCCACTCTCTTCATGCAACTGGAGTGCGGGAAGATCAAACTCACCGAGGAGAGCAACAACCAGCAACGTAACAAACATCAGAACACTCTGTGATGACCAAGACGGGAACAGGATTGCCTGGATATGGAAGAATCGTCTGACAAACAAAAGGTCTAGCTTTGGTCTGGAAGTAGAGAACAATGAGCATACAGTCACACAAAACTGATATCGTTTTCTCGCTGCATCTTTTTTCATCTGGCAGGAAAGTAGCTTCCAGACGAACATCGCTCAAAACAGCTGTGTGTGTGTGTGCGTGCGTGCGTGCGGGTTGCCCAGGATACGTGGTCTTAACTCAGCTTTCTTCCCACAGCAACACAGCGAAGATAGGGAAGGGAATGGGAGGTGACTGACTTAACTCTGTTACAAGGAGCACCAAATCATCATGACAAAAAACAAAAAACACATGAAAGCACTGCAGATGCTGGAAATCTGAAACAAAAACAGAAATTGCTGGACTATCTCAGCAGGTCTGGCAGCATTTACAGAGAGAAATCAGAGTTAATATTCCAGGCCCCGTTCTGAAGAAGGATCACCGGACCCAAAATCTTAACTCTGATTTCCCTCCACAGACGCTGCCAGGCCTGTGGAGATTTTCCAGCAGTTTCTGTTTTTGCACCATATTATCATCTCATCACCTTTCTGTTAGATGTGACTGATTACCTAAACCACTTCGGGAATGAAGATGAATATTCTTTTCAGAAAAAAATTCAACTTGTATGTTTCTTCACATATTCCCTAGGTGGCAAGAGCTTAATTACACATTGTGGTAGGCTACTGAGAGTTCAATGAATTATGCTTGGCCAGGGAGGAACCAGAGAACCCTAAATCCTTTCAACGCTCTTGACTAATGATGTGGGCAAATCAACTGACCTTGACTGAAAACGGCACTGATCACGGTCATCAATGTATACGCATGCCGGTCGGAGTCAGGATACCATCTTTTCCCAGCTGCTATCAGTTCTGAAGAAAGGCCACTAGACTTGAAATGTTAACTCCGCTTTCCCTCCTCAGAGGCTGCCAGACCTGCTGAGTTTCTCCAGCAATTTCTGTCTTACCACAGAGGGCTGTGAGGCTGGATCGTTGAGTGCATTCGAGGGAAGGTAGAAAGATTTTTGATCAGTAAGGGAATGGAGAGTTTATGGGGAAAAGGCAGAAAAGTGGACTTCAGGATTATCAAATGAGCCACGATCTTGTTGAATTGTGGGGCAGACTCAAGGGGCTGAATGGCCCATTTCTCATCTTCTGGTCTAAGTTAAGGTGATGTACAAGGCAAGGTTTTTTTACACAGAGGGTGGTGGGTGCCTGGAAGGGTGGGTCGCTGCCAAGGGAAGTAGTGGAAGCAGATACAATAGTGACTTTTAAAGGGCATCTTGACAAATACATAAATAGTGTGGGAATAGAGGGATACGGTCCCTGGCAGGGTAGGGGGTTTTACTTGTGACGGGCAGCATGTCAGTGCAGGCTTGGAGGGTTGAAGGGCCTGTTTCTGTGCTGTAATTTTCTTTGCTCTTTGTTGTTCTTAATGGTAAGCAGATTTCTTGAACTGCTGTAGGTAGGCTTTCAATGTTGTTAATGATGTTGATCCAGTGACACTGAAGGAATGGCAATATATTTCCAGGTTGGGATGGTGGGTGAACTTGCAGGTGGTGGTATCTGCTGACCTTGTCCTTCTAGATGGTAGCGGTCATGGGTTTGAAACTGGTGATGTTCGGCAGAGATCAGATCTGTTATTTGTAATATTTGAAAATGATTTGGATGAAAATGTAGGTGGCCCAATTGCTAAGTTTGCAGACATGAAAAGTGAAGGTCGTCAAAGGATACAGAGGATATAGGTCAGTTGGAAAGCTGAATCCCCGCCTCTTTGACCTGTCTGTCTCCTCTCCACCTATCTTCTCTTCTATCCGCCTCCCCCTCTCTCCCCACTTTATTTCAGAGTCCCCTTCCCCTCCCCCATTTCTGAAGAAGTGTCTAGGCCCGAAACGTCAGCTTTCCTGCTCCTCTGATGCTGCTTGGCCTGCTGTGTTCATCCAGCTCTACACCTTATTATCTTAGAAAAAAGGCAGATTGAGTTTAATCTGGACAAATGCGAGGTGATGCATTGAGAGGTTAAGTACAAAAGAAAAGTAGACAGCACCCTTAGGATCATTGATAGACAGAGGAATCTTGGGTTGCAAGTCCATAGCTCCCTGAAAGGGGCAAGGCAAGTGGCTAAGTAGGAGTATAGCATGCTTTAGAGGGTTATGGGCCAAATGCAGGCAAATGGAACTGGTTTAGCTTGCGGAATGTGGTCAGCATGGACGAGATGGACCAAAGGATCTGTTTCCATGCTGTATGACTCTATGCTTTCTATGCTTGTTTATTTTTGGAACTACCTCAGGGCTGAGCCATGATGACTTCCACAGTTCAATAACCCGGCCACTCGGTGCACCAAGTGCCCATGGAATCTCACCCTGACACAGGAGGGTGGCAAACGGATGCCAACGATAGAGGAGGGAGGGGGGTGGAAATAAAAAGGTTGAGAGCTAATCTGACAAAATGTAGGTGGGAGGGTGTGGGTACACGTGAGCAAGGGGGCAGGGGCAAAGTGGCAGCGCTTGCTTGATTCACTGAATGCCTACAGTTCACGAAGAGGCCATTCGGCCCATCGAGCCTGTACCGACCGTCCAAAGAGCATCCCACCCTGTCCCCATAGCCCGGCATTTAGCACGGCCAATCCACCCAACCTGCACACCTCAGCTTTAACCACCAGGGTTAATCACTTTGCTCCTCCGCTCGCTGCGGGCTCCTCCTGACCCTACCTGCTGTAATTCTGCCCCGGGGGGCGGCCCTGCCACCTGCGCCGTGGCATCACCCCTCTGCACCAGCTGGTTGTCAGCAGACAGGGGTACGGGCGTGGTGACGCCACACGCACCGGGTCCTCGGGGCGGGGAGGCGCGGTAACGTCAACACGCACTGGGTCTCCCGGTGTGACGTCATCATGCAGCGGGTGTTCCTGGGGAGGGGGCGCGAGACGTCAATACGCGCGATTGTCCGCCCGGCGGGGTATGACGTCGCGCACGGGGACTCCTCTACGTGATGAGTGCCCTCGGGGCCTAAGGCCCAAGCCTCCTCCCTTTACTCATCTGCCTTCAGGCGTCCCTTTCCATCCGAGCCTCAATCCTGCTTTCGCTGACGGCACTTCGGCCCCAGTTTTCTCCTCTTCCCGACCCTCGGACGATCGCGGAGTCACATGGCCCATGGTGAAGGCGGTGAGAGCTGGAATACCGGGGATGCTGACAATCTGAATTGCTGGAGAAACTCAGCAGGTCTGGCAGCCTCCGTGGAGGGAGAGAGAGAGAGAGAAACAGAGCTTTGGTCTCGGCTGGTGTAAATGTTTAAATACAGCTTAGAAACGGGCCCAAAAATAAAGTTGCTGGAAAAGCTCAGCAGGTCTGGCAGCATCTGTGGAGGAGAAAACAGTTAATGTTTCAGGTTTGGTGACCCTTCCCCAGAACTAGAAACGGGCCCTTCGGCCCACCATCATTATGCTAACCAACAAACACCAAATGACACTCATCCCATTTACCTGCATTCAGTCAATAGCTGTCTTCAGTCAGTAGCTTACTGGCATTAAATGCTCATCCAGATGCTTCTTAAATATTGGAAGAGTACTTCTCAGGCAGTGCATTCCATATTTCTACTACCCTCCAGAGAGGCAATAGTCTAGAGGTATTATCACTGGACTGTTAATCCAGAGACCCAGATAATGGGGTGGGAACCCGGGTTTGAATCATGCCACTCCATGATGGAATTTGAATTTAAGTTTAAAAATCTGGAATTAGGAGTCTAATGATAACCATAAATCCATTGTCAATTGTTGGAAAAAGCCCTCTGGTTCACTAATGTTCTAGAGGAAGGAAACTGGCAACTTTACCCAGTCCAGCCTACATGCCACAGGAAAGTGGTTGACTCTTAACTATCCTCTGGTCAATCACTGGTGAATCGTGAATACAAACCCTCCTTCTCCCTCATCAAATAAAACAACTGCGGACGGTGGAGATCTGAAAACAAACTCTCATTGCTGGAGAAACTCAGCACCTCTGCCCACATCTTTCAAAAAATAAAGCAGGGTTAACGTTTTGGGTCCAGTGACTCCTCTCTCTCTCTCTCTCTCTCTCTCTCTCTCTCTCGCTCGGGTACTGCCAGGGAAGATCTGAGGATTCTGTCCCTTTCCATGTTCACCCACAGTCTCTACAGCACAGAAGAAGGCTTCTTAGTCTCTGTTTTCAGTGCATCTTTCTGTAGGAACAATCTAATGGTATGCTGTTCCAATAAATATAAGTCCCACTTATATAAACCCAAGTAATAAAAAAAATTGAAACTTAGTTTCTCAAAATTACAGCCAGGATACGTCTTCTGGAATGATCTGTGCTGCTGTACCTTAACTTAGATGATGGTTACTCTGAGAGACGAGAGAATTCTGTGAGAGCCAGTGATTTTTTTTCTCATTAATGCTGATGGTTGTTAACTCTTATCAGATAGCAGTTGCTCTCACATCAATTTTCAAATGTCCTCTTATGCCTTTGAAGACATATCAATTTCTTACAATAGGATTGGTCAAAATCATCAGATTTAAATTTAATTGGTTTTTAGTCCCTAAGTGCCTGGTTTAAATTAATTGGCTGATATTCAAACTGGTTGCCTTGCTAACAAAACAAAACTGCTGTCTGGATTGCTAACCATCTAGTCTTTGATACAAATATTTTAATTTCAGGAGCTCTCTGTGCACCTGCAACTCACAAGCTGCCAACAGACATTTTTTTTGAACCTCTAAGCACAGAAAAAGCACATCATCTTTTAAAGAGACCATGCACTCTTCCCGCCACTATCATTTTACAGACATCAGATTCTAACATCCTGCCTTCCAATCCACAAATACTCTACTCAACTTCGCAACAAAGGAAAAATGAAAAAAAAAGGAAGTGTAGCATCTAGGGGATGAGTGATGAGCTTTGAGATGTGAAGGAAATGGGGTTTCCTAAAGCATGAATCTCAAAGGTTTAGTATGCAGATACAACAAGTAATTAGGAAATCTAGAAATTTGGGAATGTTATTTTTTGTAAGGGGAATTAAATACAAAAGTAGGGAGGTTTTGCTGTAGTTATATAGGGCACGGGTGAGACTACATACAGAGAACGATGTAGAGTATTGATCACCTTATTTAAGAAAGGATGTAAATGCTTTGGAAGCAGTTTAGATGGGTTTACCATTGCTGGTACCTGAAATGAGTAGGTTGACGTTTGAGGAAAGATTGAACAGGCCAGGCTCATAGTTGCTGTAATTTATTAAAGTACGTGACTTAATTGAAAACTACATTCCTGAGGAATCTTGACAAGGTGGTTGTGAGGAGGATGTTTCCTCTTATGGGAGAATGTAGAACTAAAGGGTTAATGTTTGCAATTCAGGGATCACTGACTCAAATCAGATGAGGTGAATCTTTTCCTCTCGGAGGATTGTGAGACTTTAGAACTCTTTTCCTGAAAAATTGGCGGAGGTAGAGTACTTGAATATTTTTAAGGTAGCCCCATGGTGGCTCAGTGGTTAGCGCTGCGGTCTTACAGCGCCAGTGACCCAGGTTCGATTCCAGCCTTGGTAGCTATTGTGTGGCATTTGTACATTCTCCCTATGTCTGCGTGGGTTTTCGCTGGGTGCTCTGATTTCCTCCCACAGTCCAAAAATGTACAGATTAGGTGGATTAGCTGTGGTAAATATGGGTGATGGGCTGGGTCTGGGTGGAATGCTGTTTGGAAGGTCGGTGCAGACTTGATGGGCCAAATAGCCTGTTTATGCACTGCAGAGATTCTTGTTAAGCAAAGGGACGAAAGGTTATCAGTGTAGACAGGAATGTGGATTTGAGGTTACCATCAAAACAGCAATGAACTTGTATAGCCTACCACTCCTTGACCCATGCAATGTTACGTTATATGCCATGAATAAAGACTCCAGACTTTACCAACATCCTTTACTGTCTGTACAATGCCTCTTCTTCCTCAGGCAGCTCAGGAAATTTGGCATGTTCACGAAGACCCTCACCAACTTTTACAGATGCACGTTTTAAAGCGCACTGTCCGGGAGCATAACGGCCTAATATGGCAACTGCTCTGCCCAGGACCGTAAGAAACTACAGAAGATTGTGTGCGTGGCCCAAACCATAAAGAATAGATCCCGTTTACATGGCTCGGTGTTGTGGAAAGGCTGCCAACATCGTCAAAGACCCATCCCACGCTGGTAATGCTCTCCTACAACCTCTTCTGTCAGGCAGAAGATACAGAAGCTTGAACACACACACACCACCAGGTTCAAAACCAGCTTCTTCCCTGCCGTTACTAGACTGGTAAATTGACTCTCTAACATCAAATAATGCTGATCTAAGATTTTGCCTAGCAAATGCCATGTGCGATGTAACCTGTTTACCTCTGTCCAAGTTTCTTTTTTTCACCCTATGATCTGTATGTCCTTTCTTACTATGATCTGCTCATAAACAAAGCTTCTCTCTGTACTTAGGTACACATGACAGTAAATCAAATCAAATGTTGTTTGCACTTCTCTTAGCACAATTAATGTATAACTCACTTCCTCCTGTTGGGGTCAGTAGAAGAGTAGGAACCGACATAGAGTCATCGAGATATACAGCACGGAAACAAACCCTTCGGTCCAACTCGTCAATGCTGACCGGATATCCTAAATAAATCTAGTCCCATTTGCCAGCATTTGGCCATATTCCTCTAAATCTTTCCTATTTGTATACCCATACAGATGCCTTTTAAATGTTGTAATCGTGCCAGCCTCCACTACTTCCTCTGGCAGCTCATTCCATAAATACACTACTCTCTGTGAAAATGTTGCCCCTTAGTTTCCTTCTAAATCTTTTTCCTCTTACCTTAAACCCATGTCCTCTAGTTTTGGACTCCCCTACTCCGGGGAAAGATCTTGTCTATTTACTCCATCCATGCCCCTCATGCTTTTATAAACGTCTATAATATCACCCCTCAGCCTCTGACGCTTCAGGGAAAATAGCCCCAGCCTAATCAGTCTCTCCCTATAGCTCAAACCCTCCAACCCTGGCAATATCCTTGTAAATCTTTTCTGAACTCTTTCAAGTTTCACAACATCCTAGAGGAGGGAGACCAGAATTGCACACAATACTCCAAAAGTGGCCAAACCAATGTCCTGTACAGCAGCAACATGACTCCTAACTCCTATACTCAATGCACTGACCAATAAAGACAAGCATACCAAATGCCTTCTTCACTATCTTCTCTACCTGCGACTCCACTTTCAAGGATCTATGAACCTGCACTTCAAGTTCTTGTTGTTCAACAGCACTGCCCAGGACCTTACCACTAAGCGTATAAATCCTGCTCTGATTTGCCTTTCCAAAATGCAGCACCTCACATTTATCTAAATTAAACTCCATCTGCCACTCATTGGCCCATCTGATCAAGATCCCGTTGTATTCTGAGGTAACATTCTTCGCTGTTCACTACATCTCCAATTTTAGTGTCAACTGCAACCTTACTAACCATATTCCCTATGTTTACATCCAAATCATTTATATAAATGACAAAAAGCAGTAGACCCAGCACCAATTCTTATGGCATACTGCTAGTCACAGGCTTCCAGTCTGAAAAGCAACCCTCTATCACTATCCTACCCCCTGTCTTCTACCTTTGAATCCATTTTGTTTCCAAATGACTAGTTCTCCCTGCATTCCATGTGATCTAACCTTACTAACCAGTCTACCATGAGGAACCTTGTCGAACATCTTACTGAAGTCCATATAGATCACATCCATGGCTCTGCTTTCATCAATCCTCTTTGTTACTTCTTCAAAAAACTCAATCAAGTTGGTGAGACA